TGCTACTCAGTAATCAATTTAATATAGCGCCCTCTCAGTTTAGAATTGCACCCTCTATGTGAAATGAGTGTACATGTTTTGAAAAAAAAATTGATGGGAAAAATATTACATTTGTGCATCTCAATTGTAATATTGTTAGGTATTCAGTTTTGCATATAAGTTTTTATTACAGTTATGAAAAATATGGTTTTCATTCTATCACTATTTATAGATACATAAACAAAACAGCGACAATAGAGAAGAGACAATGGTAGTGAAGTTGTTTTGGGCAAAACAAAATTGTTTCCAGTCCATTTTTTTTTTCTTGCCACGATATTTATTACAATATTTTGGCAAAAAACAAAATATGGTGTCATGCCACAACTTTTTTGTTGGCCTGAAGATCAGAGCTAAAATTGAAATGTAAATATTTATATCCTGAAAAAAAAAAGATACTAAAATTTTCCATAGTGACGCAAGAGAAACGTAGTTTATAATTAAGACACTTGTACATATTTTCTGTCTTTATTTGCTAAAACTCTTTTCAGGAGCATAGCTATAGATCATTCTGTGGAAACGTCAAAAACCTAACAATACCTAGAAATGTGCATTCCTTGTTCCACCTGTATCACAACTTTCTGAAAATGCCTACATTGCTATAGTTACATGTACAGTAAGTTATAAAGAATGCGCTAATTAAAATTAAAATATATGCGTGTTATAATATTTTACATGTTGTGGATAACTGCTGAGTTAAGGGGTCTTCTCAATCACCACTTGACAGTGTAAACATGTTGTACATCTTGTAAATTACTGCTGAGTTAAGGGGTTGTCTCAACTTGCTTGACAATGTAAACATAATGTACATCTTGTGAATTACTTGTAAGTTAAGGAGTCTTTTCAATCATTGCTTGACAATGTAAACATATGGAACATCTTGCGAATTATTTCTGAGTTAAAAGGTCTTCTAAGTCACAGATATGGAATCTTGTTAGTCGTGTTTGTCGTGGAGGTTATAGTAAGCATCAAACCATAGTTCACCTGAGTGCCTGAGAGAACTGTGAAAAAAAAAATCCAGACATTGCATTGTTTATATCCGTAAATCATACTCATGTAAAACTGGTTAATGGCTAAGCTCCCAAAAAAGTCAGTTGCTAGAACAACAAAATTGGTTTCTAGGGCAGTTAAATTTAATTATATAACAGTATATTTATTGCAATTAAATTAAATCTTCACTGGGTTTCAATTTCCCTATTTTCCATGACAACCCTTAACTTGAATCTATGTTTACAAATACAATAAATTGTTTTGTTTATTGTAAAATACTGGAATTAATTTTCGCTGAAGAGTTTTGGGGTGTTTTGTATTTATTTTCACTGATTTTTAGTTGAATGTAAAATATAGGAAAAAGATATATTTGCTAGATTCCTTCAGCGAAAAATAGCGAAAATTAAGTCCAAGCAAAAATGAAGTATTTTATAGAATGCTGATTCTACAACAACCATGAGTCAAAGATGAAACAGCAATTAATTTCATATTTGTGAAAAGCCATTCCCATCAAATTCATCATAGAGTAGGGAGTATAGTCATGGTTTGTCAAGTCAAATTTTGTTTTAATATTTGCTACAATGCAAGGCTTCAATAGTTCTGAAAATAACTCTCATTCACCTCAAAATTTCAAACCTTGACACCTGGCCAAGCTATAAGTTCAGAAATATCGGACACTAACAAGTGTCTGAATTACTAATCTGCATATGCACTACCAATATGCAAATGAAAAAGAAATGTGACGATTACAAAATCTACAGTCTCAGATAGTCGCCGATCCACAGCAGCGTGTCAGAGTAAGGTGGAACAAAATGAGGTGGTTGTGAAGCAAATTGAAATGTACATTGTTTTGCATAAAAATAGATAAGCCATAACTGCCAGAACCTCAATTTATATGTGAAAATTACATTTTGAATTTTGTGCAATTTGGTTATAATATTGTGTGAGGGGAATTGAAGTTCGGCTATTGCTTGTGTATGGATGTACATTTCATGCATTCATCACATTTTGCTATAGCAGATTCCGTGAAGATGTTGAGTGGGCAGCTGACACCCGATTATATATGTATACTCTAACAACGCTGTGGATCCGACGTGGCTAAATCTCAGACAAAAGTCCAAGTGTGAATTCACAGAAATAAACACATGGTCAGAACAATGGATCACATGGTCAAGAGTGGTATGAGGAGACGAAGCTCATTGGGTTTCATGTCAAATACGCCCTCAATGTTTAATTAGGAAATTCATTTGTTTTTATCAAAGAGTTATCTGGTAACATTTCTTACCTTAGAATGTCCTTGAAAGCCCTTGACAAGGAAACTTCTTGGTAATCTATACCATGTTTTAGGCACAGCTCTTTCACATATGGCTTTATCTTATATAAATTATGACGTGGCATTGTAGGAAACAAACTGCAAACAAATAAATCATTGTTATTTATGCCAACTCCTTAACATACTGATTCTCAATCAAGTTCTGAGTTCTTGTGAACAATACACATACATACTGTGGAATACTTTATTTTCGCTGGAATTAATTTTCGCTGAAAAGGCTTTTTGGGCGTTTTGTATGGAACTTATTTTCACTGATTTTTGATGAATTTAATGTGAAATAGAGGAAAAAAAGTATATTCGCTGGATTTTATTTTCACGGAATCATCCATTCAGCGAAAATAGCGAAAATAAATTCCAAGCGAAAATAAAGTATTCTACAGTACAAGAAGTTCTTTTGAATTACTTTCCAATTGTTCAAACATACCCCTTAACTCGTTGAATTTTTTTGCAAACCCCCTAACTTACTGATGTTCAATCTGAAAGTTCAGATGTCCTGTGAACCAATCATTAAAAGGTGATTTCTGAAGATTTCTTGTTGCATGCATTTGTAGAGGAACCCATGGTCTTTCCAGGTCTTGGTCAATTGTCATTGGAATGTGGTTGGACTGGGCCACCCATGTAAACCATGAACTTTCAATCACCCTGTCAAAAAAAAATATATTCACCTGTTGAATTATTCATACAAAAAAATGAAAAATATTATTGTGAGATTTTTGCATTTTCAAATAATTATGGAAATGCACACTGCTACAAATTCTAAAAAAAAATTATGTAAATGTATTTAAAGGGGCACTTCCAGTTGAGCCTAATCTCACAACAAATTTACTTTCTGGATTAAAATTACAATGGATAACAAAGGATAGATTAACATTGTAAACAACATAAACAATAGTGTCCCATGATTCTTTGGTGCAATCCCTGGGCTTGGAAGGTTCCCCTTTACATTTAAAGTTAATACTGTGCCACTCACTGAAATATGAGGCTTTTGTTTTCATTGAAGTTACGTTTGTTTAAGGGATAAAACCCTTCAAAACTCTCATAATGAAATGAGTGGAAAATTAGGTCAGAATGTCTACTTTTAACATACTGTAAAATACATTATTTTCACTTGAAATTAATTTTCGCTATTTTTGCTGGAGGAATGATTCAGTGAAAATAAAATCCCGCGAATATACATTTTTTCCTGTATTTTACATTCAACTTGTCAAAAATCAGTGAAAATAAATTCCATACAAAACACCCAAAATGTCTTTACAGCGAAAATTAATTTCAGCTAAATTAAAGTATTTTACAGTATCATATTTTTAGCTAATAACTATTTTTAAACTTTTCTTGTTTTTTTGGCCCGAAATGGTTACAATGTGTGTGATATACCTTGTGTGTTCACTATACTGTGGCTCTTTAATTAAAATAAATTAAAAAAGAAATAAAAAAAAACTTACCGAGTGAGTTCATAGAAAAGCAGCGTTCCTAGGATTCCAATAATTGGAACAAAAATGTAACAAAGGCTGATGTAATACAGCGAGAAAAGAAAAATCTCCTGCAATATACAAAACAATATTTTATTTGTTTGTTTATTTGTTTAATTTATTTATTTATTTATTGATTGATTGATTGATTGATTGATTGATTGATTGATTGATTGATTGATTGAATTTGAACTAAATTTCTTAATTGCTTTGGACCATAACGACAGTTTCAGATATATTTTTTATTTTTGTTAAAAAAATTTGTTTTTATCAATATTTGATGCAGACTGTATAAAATAATTTTGTAGATGTCAAAAGCTAACAATGGTGCTCAAAGGGTTGAAACTGAAAATTTTTTTACTATAAGTTTTTCTTTCTCTTTGTATCAACAGCTTTCTCCCTCATCGAAGAACATCAAGATCTAAATTCCATGCTACACTGCCCTCTGTTGGCTATAAGTTGATACTTTTGTTTTTAATAAGTGTCAACTCTTAGAAATTTCAAATTTACAGGCAACACATCATGAGAAAGCTGAAATAAATAATGTACACTTCAGAAAAATTTAGCCGTTTATTTATGTATGAAGTTCCATTTTGAATATTTGCATATTAAAACCAGTAAATAAAGTATCACATACATACAGTATGACCTAATAAAGGACAGATCGAAAATGCATAACACAGATGTTGCATACTGAAAAACTATTTTTCAATGTATACACTACTAGAAAATCCATCTGCAACTATGGATTACGGTAATAATTGCTCATTTTAGCAAACTTATGTGTTTATTTTCAGTCTTATTATTCAGTTGCTCAAAAAAATTTATTGAAATAAAACAAATTTAGAAAATATAAGCAAATGAAAAACATCACCACAAGTAAAATAATAAAACTCTCATTCAACAATAATTAGCATACCAGGCGACACAATAATATATTAATATTTGGCGTTATTTCAGCAATTGTTTTGGACCATGGAAATTGATTTCTATTATTATTTCACGATACGATACTTAATTTACGTTGATTTCACCAGACATCACTAGGTAGCATTAATTATTGCCAATTATTATTAATTATTATCAGATTAATTACAAAACTCTGGTGATATTCTTTTGTTTCTGCTGATGTTAATTTGAGAGAAACTATCTTGAAATTATACATAATAATTTAAATCGATGTGAGCTACACCATATATCACCATTCAATGCAGTTCCACACTTTTGTATAGACACTGAATTGAGTCTTTCATTACTTACCACTTTCATAGTATTCTTTCTCTGCCAGAAATAACGGGCTATAGTTAGTTGGAAGTACACTGGAAACAGCAGTGGAGGTCCAACTGAAAAATAAACAAAATCACAATGAAATCACACTGTAGGGGGCGCACTTTAACTAATTTCAAATATACAGTATGCTGTAAACCATTTAATTTTCACTACTAACCTTCTTGAAGACAAAATTATTTGACACTCATTATAGGACCCATTTGAAATGTGGAAATTTAAAAAAATACACTACAAGCTCTTGATAACTTGCTGAGCGAAAGGGTCAAATGGGTGACTTAAACTCGTTTCTATAGAAATGAGGATTTTGCAATTTCCTCATAGCATATAAACCCATCTTTGGTTGACAAAATACATACAATTCCCGAATTACTGTCAGACGCAATGTAATTCTATTTGCGCATGCGTAACCTACAAAGCAACCGGCGAGGGTAGGACAAAAATATAAATCAAAAGAGCACCTGTAGACATGCAACCCAGGAGGAGTCAGCAGCATATTTTAAAAAAATTTCAGCGATAGCAGAGTGAGTGTGGGTGGGTACAAAAAAGGGCAGCTAGAAGAACTATTTAAGACAGCGTAGAAACATGGATTTCCAGTTGAAAAAGATGAAAATGGTCTGAAATAGAGATGGTACGTGTGTATTTCACGGAGTAAAATATGACTGTAACATGATTGTTTTTCAACTTCCAAAATACCCACAAAAAATATGAAAATATTACATTATAGCCAAAGATAATTTGCATACTCGTTATTCTTGCTTAGGCAGAATAGTATGCAAATTTTCTGAGGCTGCTACAAGTATAATTTAGTTATACTGATTATACTGATACTGATATTTAAAAAAGCAAATCGCAAAAAATAATTTAGCAAATTTTCAAAAATTCTTCACCAAAAAGTGTTGTAAGCTGCAATCTTCCTTAAATGTGAGTGTTGTTTATTTTTTTCCCACAGCTACAGTAGGAAAACAATACACAAGTATTAAAATCAAATATAAATGTTGTCATTGTTACTCATATACATATAACTGTTGATATGAGACAATGGAAGACACTTTACGAGTTAACACACACTCGCCCGATTTCCATTATCTCAACGTTATCTATAAGCGATCAGGTGAGCCCAAATTACAATGGCAGAATGCAAATATAGAAATTAGTTTCCATGGTAATGGAGAATTTTTCCATGATATCAAACACGACGGTACTATCAATGCCAAAACTGATAAAATTTATGGCTATACTGTACTTTGAATGCAATCATGAGGTCACGAAGGTTGTTGACACTTGATACAACAATCTCAGTGAAAGGTCGTTGCTACAAATTTTCCAGAAGAGCATTCGTCTTTTGCAGAATTATACAGTATTTAGTTAAAGGGCAAGTGATGTCACTGTGCATGTCATATGGGTTTCATACGAAGAATACTAATGTAAAATAATTTTTGTTTGTTCACGCGATATTCGAATGCACGTTGCATGGCAAACATCACCCTTTTATCATATCAACACCAGAGAGAGAGAGAGATGAACGACTCATTTGGGAGGTGTAAATTACTTTTAATTTTAAAGCGAGAGGGTCGTCACTTGCGTACACTCAGGAATTGAGTCCCAAACGACGATAACAACACATGCTAAAAACGCAAAGGCTCATGGGTATGGCCATCTGACGCATGCACAGGTGACGACTCCCTCGCTTTAAGTGAGGGTGTATGCAACAGATAGACATAGTGTCATTGTTTACAAACATCTTCCCATGAGCCTTTGCATATTTTGCGTTGTTATCACCGCTTGGTGACAAGCTTTCCACTTTAAATAGAGAAATGAATTTGCACAAAATATTGTTAATGCACTGTAAAAAACTCATGTCCAATGATCTACGTAACCGTGGTATTGGAAGTGTAAACATTATGAAAAAAAAAAACACAGTTGTGGCTCTTATTCTTAACACAATCTCAGTGACCATTTGCATCTATGGTCTATTCAGATGCTGTGAAACTAATACAAGTATTATTACTGTAAAATACTTTATTTTAGCTGGAATTAATTTTCACTGAAAATACATTTTGGGTGTTTTGTATTGAGTTTATTTTCACTGATTTTTGATGACTTGAAAATATAGAAAAAACGTTATATTCACTAGATTTTATTTGAACTGAATCATGCCTTCAGTGAAAATAGTGAAAATAAATTTCAAATAAAATTAAAATATTTGACAGTAAATCAGTTTGAAAAGTGTTGCTTCTGATTGTTTGTAAAAGCTGGTCACTGGTATATGCAGCAAAGCTGTAAGACACCTACTGTTTTGAATAGTTATTGAATTGTACTTACTTAGAGGAAAATACTTGTGTTGCCAGTTGTATGGTAGGATATAGGACTTTTTCTCTGCTACCTTCAACGGCATCTTATCACCGACTACAAAAAGCATTTCAATTCTAACATCAGGATCTTTATCCATCTAAAAACGAAGTTGATCACAAAATTTTTTTATTTTAAGATTCAGGAAAAAAATTATGGTTAAGTTATTTTCCAAAATTGATGTGCACAAGTGATATTTTATTTCAATTTAAAAACTGTCATTATATTAAGATTTCTTCATAAAAGCTCTGATATGCATATTTTCAACTGATGTGCTGGATCACCAGTAAATTTTTTTTTTTTGCACAACTGGATTAAATGTAAACTAATTTCATTTCTTTTTTAATATATAAGTGTAGTTCTATAAAATACTATATAAATATTAAAATATGTGTTGTCATGGTTACTACTATACATAACTTTTTTTAGTCTTATCTTTGTTTTTCCTATTTTCCATGTCACATCAAAGTTAGCCAATTCCATGTCAAAAAGTGGTTTTGTTGCTATGGTAACAATTTTCTCAATAGTGACTTACCACATTGGGTTTTGCATGGTGTTGATTGTGCATGTGATTCCACCAAAGTCCAGAACCTCCCTGAAATGACAAAGAATACAAACTCAATGACTGAAATATTATAGTGTTATTGACGATCGTGAGTCATATTATAGGCTTTGTGAGAAGATAAAATATACTTTATTATACAGGCAGATGTGTTGGCATTCAAAATCCCACGATCTTGGACACCATATCTGATCTGGCAAATGAGGACAAATGAATAATCAAATTTGACCAATGACAAAATTGTGAAATTCTCACTCAAAATCAGATTTTGTCTGAATGTTGGTTCGCAATTGTTGAAAATAATGGATGCACTTTCCAATACAGATTTCAAGGTATGTGTTTTTAAGATCATGGTAAGGGTTTCACTGCAACAAAATTATTATAAAATATAAAAGCAGTTGATATTATATTTAAAAATACATGAATTATAAAAAATACACAAAAAATATTTGCACGCAGACATGACATGTAGACGTGAGTGCCGCCTTCGCCGACCGAACGGCTTCAGACCTCACTAACGCCTGACAGAATAGTATATGTCTCGTTGGCAAGATCAATACTGCGAATTCGCAAAGTTCACGCCTTCTTGCAATTAGTTTCAGTGAATATTCATTTTGGTGGCCATGGTAACAAAGCCGTGTTTGCATTGTCGGCAAAAATCAGACTGTTTTCACATGATGATAAACATTGGGCAGTAATAAACTCTGCCGTGAATGGTTACACTTTAATAGCTGTCACTATCTGACGTTCCTGCAATTTGATTGGTACCAACAACAAATCGTCGGGGGAAGTGAAAAACTACATCGTTCTGTCAGGCATGTGTTGGGTTTGAAGCACTGCAGAGGGCGCAACTCACACAAACTTGTCAGGCTAGCAGACAACCAGCGTGAACTGATAGGTCACCTAAACTGACCAATCAGCCGATGACATACAGATCAACAATTCCAGAAAATATTGGAAGAATCAGTTTATAAGACTTACCTTGAATGCTCCTGTAAAAATGCGTTGTACCCAGCGATTCAAATTCGTATTATCGAATACCGAAATGTGACCGAAGTCATGCTGTAACCAACCACCTTGAGCCTAAAATTTAAAGAACAGAGGTAATTTTATTTCACACTTTATATAAAGTTGGTTTGAAGGACAGTGGTTGTCATGCAACACAAGTTCTAATTTCATGTAAACAAACAATATATTTAACATGTGTTGTATACGATGCTATGAGTCCCATATCGAACAGGGCATGACGTGACAACCACCGCCCTTTAAAGCTTTGAGCTTCGAAGTCATCTTTCACAAAATAAACCCGCAACTTTATTGGTGTTTTTTTAATTCAGTATTTGCTATATTAGTAGTGTATGTGCGCTTATATAAATAAAAAAAAATAAAAAAATCATAAAAAAATCTAAATCAAAGCACAATTTTTAAGATAATTTAAAAATAAAAACATTGTTCTGGTCAAAATGTTTTTCAAAAATGAAGAAATATTTTTGTTGTTGCTAAAATGCTGACAGGCGCAAAAATGTTGCAGATTTAAATAATTCATCAACAAAAGATAAAATAAGTGAATTTTGTTTAGGCTTAATCATTTGCAGTTTAAATTATATGAGTGAAGGCGCTATAAACACATACCTGCGCTGTTCCCCAGAGAAGAGTCGTTACAATAAACGTATACCAGTGAACTCCATTGTAAATGAAATTAAGATACGCTATGGTCTGGAGTGCCATGATCATCGCAAACTGCATGAAGAAGAAAAAGTAACTGGGCTTGAATAAATTCTGTAAAAGAAAAAAAAAAATTAGTCAAGCTAAAAAGAAGGCATTGAAAATTTATTAAAAAACAAATTTGGGAGCTTCCATTATTTTTGATAGGGGAGTGGGTTCAATAAAAGGGAGTCAACAGCTAGGGCAGATTAATAGATACTTGACATGCAGGTAATATTATTTTTGTCTTAGTATATCATACTTTCAGTTGTCTCGTTTGTAAAGAAACATGCAATAATCACAAATATTATCTTTCAAATATCCAAGTAAATTTTAGATTTGACATCGTAAATCTTGAAAAATTTTCGTAAAGATTTGGCTGATTGTTAATGTCCACGAGACATGCCTGCACAACAAACTCCCTTCAATGGAATGATTTCGGTTTTTTGTGCAGGCTTATGTTTTTAATTCATGAATAATTATAATTCAGTGAAAATATGTGAGAGAAAGTTTTTGTAAATGTTGCAAGTTGGAAAAAAAACACTTTTGTCACATTTCATTGGGAAGGAATGACAGTGAGCTCTAGTTATTTTCACAAAATTTCATGCCCTGGAAGTCTTGAACTTCAAAATTGATAGCGACAAAAATTAAACAGTTTAATGACTATCACAACATACTAGGAACCCAAAATAGTTAAAATCCTCAAAGTTGTTTATCGACCGAAACGCTACAAATAATGATGCAAGTCAATTGTTACCATTTTCACTGCACGCTGTTTAAGTTCTTTAAAATCTTTGTCGATATCTGCAATATTCATCTGATCCGGCGCCACTCGACCAATAAGAATTGGCTTCATATATTTCCGAACTTTCTGCAAGTCTTGTGGCTTATGAAATGCTCCAAAGACGTTCTAAATTGGGAAGAAAAAAAAACATAGATAAATTAACAAAGCTTATGAAATGCTCCAAAGACGTTCTAAATTGGGAAGAAAAAAAAACATAGAAAAATTAACAAAGCCTTGCCAATATAAAAATAATATGCAAAAGTAATGGAAAGTTCGTGGTCAATATACTATTACATAAAAATAATATATGGTTGCATAATAAATATAGTACTTCCTGGTTTTCTTAAGATCACCATACATCAGTGAAACAACTTATGATGAATTTTCACAACTGTATTTGCATAATGTATAGATGACATTAAGCCATATTTAAGTTCCAAATTCCATACGTGGTACACTTCCCTTTTAAACAAAATCCCCCAAAAATATAATGATATGAGTTACACTAGCACGTTGACAAGAGACCTTAATACAGTACAGATGCTTTAGCATGTGTTCAAATTTCATGTAAATAAACAATGTATTTTACACATGTTGTATACGCTGCTATGAGTCCCATATCGAACAGGACATGGCGTAATGACTGTAATGCCTAAACTTGTTTTCAATTCAAAATGAACAAGTTTTAGAGAGTGGTAGTCATCACGCCATGCATGCGTGAGATATATGGGTCACATATAAACGAAGATGGCGACTTTGGCTGTTGTGCAGATCAAACTGAGACGTTACCAAGCTTTAATTAGATATTTTTAGGTGATTAGAGGACATCAAAATGAGTCAACAGCTGTGCAAGTCGCACCCAGATCAAACTTCATACTTGCATTAGAAGAGTGCATTGGATTGTGGGAAAATCAATGTTTATCAACACAAATGTCGCACATGCGCGGCATGATGACTACACTATCTACTAGTGAATTTTAATTGGCTCAAAAAAAATGTGTTGCTGATGTATCTCTTGTTATACTATGCTTGTGCTAAGACAAAACTGTAACAGTCATTGCATTCCAGAGAAACTGACATGAACACCATATGGACGTATGGACAACAATAGATATCCGTATGGACGGATTGTGTTCAATCACATGGTACATACAATGAATATAATGTGATCTTGATGCACTCCATTATATTTTTCTAATTGAGTTCAAAATGGTCAACTGGTGGCCATTTTATTTCAAAAAAGGAATTCCCTGATCCATATACATATATTCAACATACCTGGACCAATGAAATTCAAACCACACACATACATCAGACAGCATATTGGACAAGACACATGCATTTTTGTCACCCAAGAAAATCCAAAATGGTTGATTGGTGGTCATCTTGTTTGGTGATGCTTCTACAACTCATACATGCCTGAACCAATCAAGTTCAAACTTAACACATACATCACACAATAGGTCATACAATGTATATATATCTAACAGACAGGGACTATGTCATTGAAAATGACTTGTTCAACAATATTTAACTCTGTAACTTTACTGTGCAAAGTATCTATTGTTATGAGTTAAAAAACGCCTTAGCAACAATTCTGCCTGCATAGAAACGAACTTTGATCTTACATGTGCAAAAAAAATGATCACTGCATTTTTGCACACCTGATTCCACACGTACCAGTATAATCACCGTGTCAAAGGAGTGATGTAATATTTTTTTATCATTCAAGTACATGATATGGAACAATGTAAAGTCAATTAAAAAAACAAAAACAACAGACATATACAGAAAAATTAAACTCATAATATAAATCATATTTTCATCACTTTTCAGCAGTAATATTTTTAGTTAAAATTAACCAAGAAGTTACAGAAAAATTAAAAAAAAAAATTTGTCAAAAATATTGTACCAAAATTTTAGCAGAAACAATTATGGCATTCAGATATTTGTTAATTAGTCATTAATGAGATGAAATGTGTGAAAAATTATTCCAAATAGAAATAAAACTAAAGAATTGAGCTAACTGTTACAGTGCTTAAAATTGTCTAATAACACTGGGGTACTAACCATTAAATAACCATTAATTTTCTGCACTTTTTTCTCATATTCTTCAATATTTTTGGAAATGAAACCTAATTTTGGGAGCTAACAGACAAAATTTGCGTCAATTCTCAGTTTTTACCCAAAATTTGCTACTTTGTCCCAATCTTCTGAAAAGAATGCAGACTATAAACTGGACTATTTTGTGAATTTGTGATTAAAAGAGGAAACTGGTGGTGAAAAGGTTAAAGAGACGCGATAAGCCTAAAAGATTTATGTTTGTACAAAGTTGTTTTAACTATATCTCCTAAGCAAACATTTCTTACATGTGCTTTGGGTTCAAAATTGGAAAAATTTGCGTTTTGATTTATTTTGTTCTGATTTATTCAAGTGTAGTGGTATGCACTTATAACAATGTATCAATATGCTATTAAAGTTATGTAAAGACATCAAGTTTTCAATACCAGTCAAGGGGGTCAAAGTTCAATGAACTTCCATTGACTATACAGTAAATTACACGTACAACTATGTACTTTGAATCATATATATATCGATTAATAAAAAAAATGACAACCTGGACCAATCCAGATAATATTTGTGCACAAAGTATATTGAATATTTTGTTTTTGGAAATTAACAAATGTTGGATTTTCCCCTAAAAAATTAAACATGAAATATTTTTCACATGTCATAAAAAATATTTTCAAGATTATTTTGTTTTAACAAAAATTTGTTCACTTTGTATGAACTACTGTAATCAAGCCCAATTCTGGATTGGATTATTATTTCTAAGATGGTGATTCGAAAAGTTAGGTGCAGTACATGTTGCAACTTTCTGAATTTTTTAATTGATTTAAATTTGTTCTCAAAAGTTCTATAAAACTTAATGATTAGCATATTCTTCATGTGAATAAACATACAGTGAGTTGCCATCCATCCAAACCCATGCCTGATTGGTCAACTATGTCAACAGGTGGTTCTGTTCAAATATCCAATCCATGCATCATTGGTCAATTTTCCAATGTCACATGTGACGAGTCAATGCAAAGCTACTCACAAGATTGTTCCTGATTGGCTACCCATACCTGACACCTAACATTCTGACCAATCACAGAGCAGCTTGTTTGTTGGCAGTTTTTTTTAGCGAATCAAATTCTGCCTTGTATATATCTTGACTCAAATGCATGTGTTGTCAATATAGTTTCAATTATGCCAATTTTAGTTTTGTAATTGCATCGTAAGGGAAGTGATATCGCAAACGGACGTAATTCACTACAGGTCTCTTTTCAAATTTTTTAAACACTCATAAGTTTATTTTGTGAAAGACAGACAAAAGTTACAATTTGCATTCAAATGATTGTATGGTGGGTTTGTGTGTGCTGAAAGCAGGTGGGTGTGGCAGGCATTTTATGTACAAGCCATTTCATGGAGTGGATGGCATAAATTACATACTGTTTAGGGATAGACCAAATCCGAATCATCCAAGGAAGGGGGGGGGGGGATAGCAAAGTTTGTTCATACTAGACTGAGAGTTTTAAAAAGATATACTGTTACCATAACTTTCCAGTAATCTACCTTTTTGATTCACAATCATTCAAAGAGCATCGACCTGCCAAATTGATGCTAGAAAAACCACTCTCCAAGCTACATAAACACAGTCGCTATGTGTACAAAGCAGAGGCTTTGACATGTGTGAACAACAAATCCATTCTCTGGCTGATGCGATGGAGTCGCATTTGCTGTGATTATAAAACCTCATTAATAGTTTACCTGTTCACTCATAGTAACAAGTCTTCACTAAATAAAATTATGATAATTCTTTAACAACAAGTAATTGCATTACATAGTCTCTGTGAGGTATCAAGTTTAAAAAATATATAAAGTTTGAACATAAACAGTCATGGAATGTCAAACTTATGGCCTCAGAATAAACAATTATTTAAAACAAAATGGCCACCAGTCGGCCATTACGAATTTGATCAGAAAAACAAAATTATGTTTATCAAGGTCCCATAATGTTCAGTATGTACTAGGTTTGAAATTTTTTTTTACACACACATCCAAGATTTGGTTCTGAAATGGCAGAAATGCTTGATGTCGATGAATTTTTAACATTAAAATGGTTGTTATTTACTTATCTTGAATTGAATCATTCAACAAATACATGCACATTTGCATACATGATACTGTAGAATACTTTATTTTTGCTTGGATTTTATTTTCGCTATTTTCGTTGAAGGGATGATGCCGTGAAAATAAAATCTAGCGAATATACTTTTTTTTCCCCTATATTTCACATAATACTCATCCAAAATCAGTGAAAATAAATTCCATACAAAACGCCCAAAAAGCCTTTTCAGCGAAAATTAATTCTAGCGAAAATAAAGTATTCCACAGTAGATAAAATTTAATTTGAACAAATATTTAGTTCAGGTTAATCATATATCTGTATGTATAGATAGACATCTACTATGAAAATAATATTTGAAGTTATTTTGATTTAGTTCTCAAAGTTATCCATATTGTCCATTTCAACCCAAAATATATTTCAATTTCATATTTTTAGAGATGCATGATAGGATTTGATTATCATATGCTTTTTACATGAATAGTAGGTTATTTAGGCGACAGTCGTGCCGCGATCTGTTCGATATGGGACTCATAGCGACGTATACAACGTGTGTAAAATACATTGTTTACATAAAATTCGCGGCGACCACCACGCTTTAACTAAATCACAAATCAAAGCATTGATTTACACAATATATATATATAATGATAAAAAATAAATAAAATAAAATAAAAAATAGGAAAACTTTAGCCCTAGATATTCTCCATTCTCTCTGGAATCTCAATGCTGCAAAATTTTAATTTTTTCCCACAACTTATAAAATTCAAGAAAATATATCCTCTTGCAAAATTAAATCTGTTTATAGACCCTACAGTAAACATTTAACCATTATAGCATTTAATAAAATTTTTGGAAGTGCAAGAGATATCTTCAAAATCATGTAAATATTTTTTTTGTACTCAAATAAAAACCTGAAGAAACAAAAACATAAAAATGTTGTTTTGATGGTGCACCAAACGGTATCCCTTTAATGAATATATCTGTTAAAAAAAGTCAAAATAAAGTATTATGTGTTAGCGCTTGTGATGTACATGTCAGAGCATGAACATATTTCATTTGACTATCTGTATAGATGTGTCAAATACCGGATTACTGCTCTCATAGTTCTTTAGAAAAGTTTTGGGAAGCACACATATGCAAATTTCGACCTTGAACTCTACAAATGTTTTCTTTTGTTTGTTTTTTAATTAGGACAGGTGAATGACTATAGTTGTGTTCACGTTACATGAAGTACGGGCTAAGATTTAAGCTGATTTAGGCTTATCTAGCATATTTGCATTTCGGCTAGACCCAATTGCGTCCACGCACAGGGAGGGCCAGCCGTTAGCACGGGCTAAGGGGTGCCATTAGTCGGTGACCTTTGGTAAGCCGCTATTTATGAACGAAAAATGGATGACACGCGCAAGGTTCTATTTCTGCTGCTGGCATGTTTCGTGCTAATTTTGAAGCGGCGTGCACAGGAATGAGAGAGAAGACGGACCAAACTTATTTGGATGCACATAAACAGAATACAACGGGCGTAACAGAATACAGAGTTTTATTAATGCATGTCGTAGACAGCGAACCAAATTTATTTTGTCTACGATTGGAGCTGCTGTACGCTCTACTACAGTGACTCGATTAGTGTGGAAGCAAGCGCGGAGTAATGACTGGTGGAATAGTGTCATTATCTGAACATGGGACAATTTTCACACCCAAAGGTCGCCGCAGAGGGCGCTTAGCCCTGGGCTAAGCGTTCGCGCATACTTCGTTAGCCCGTGCTAAGGTCTAGACTGCGTCTTAAATTCGGATCAGATTTAACCCGTACTTAGCATTCCTTAGCCTGTGCTAAGCGTTCACGCACGTTTTCTTAGCACGGGCTAAGGAATTTGACCTCTTAGCCCGTGCTAAGGAGCTGTGCGTGAACGCAACATATAATTTCATCCCCTCGTTTGAATTGAATTTAAATATTTACAGCTAACAACATTCTTGGATTATCTCAAATGAATGTAATCAATACACTAAATTAAAAATACTCATAACTGTCTATTTCATAAAATACTGTAAAAACTTTATTTTAGCTGGAATTAATTTTCACTGGAAAGACTTTTTGGGTGGTTTGTATGGAATTTATTTTCACTGATTTTTGACGAGTTGAATGTAAAATATAGAAAAAAAGGTATATTCACTGGATTTTATTTTCGCTGAATCATTCTTACAGTGAAAATAGTGAAAATTAATTCCCAGCGAAAATATTTTACAGTAACACGAAAAAAGAAAGAGGAAACTACATTTTTTGTTAATAGTAACATTCTGTCATTGGTTTCTACATTAAAGGAAATCTTACTATGCTGCCCCCCCCCATTTCTAATTGGTCCGACCCTTTACGCTTCTACGTGAAATAGAACACTGCACGTAGCTAAGGAAACTACCAACCATTGTGTAAATTGGGCCAGTCTATTAAAAGAGTGAACTACTATGAACTTATAAAAGATAGCGCTCGTAGTAAGGACAGGTCAAGAAACTTTTGGTGATTCTGATTAAAATTTACAGTAGTTTTAAATATACATAGTTTTATATTCAAACCAGCATATGGGTTTGAACAAAACTTTTAGTTAATAGTCACAGTCAATCGGCATGCTTATCATATACGACATAACTGTTAATATATCGACGCGGTGAGTACCGGCATGGAGCTCCACGGTACCGGTAACTATGGTTGTTTCAGGCGTCTGTGATCTGCGATGGAAGCGTGGGACGATTCGACATAAACTAAGATTAGTAACACATGATATATATATTAGAGAACCAAAAAATATAGATTTACCGATGCATCTTGCCCAGCATAGTGACTGATAACCTTACTGCCGCCTGGATGTATCCTACTCCAGCGAGAAACGTCAAAAACTTCCCCTTCGATAACGATCCATTGGTCATCGCGACTGTGGTGTTTGCGAATTTCGTCCCACGTGTAAGTCTTCTGAATATCGGCGTTCCCGGCTTTGTCGCCTCCTTTTCCCATGTTGATCGGATTGATAGGAGCACAATTCGAGAAGTGTCTACCGGCTTGTCTGTTTGCAGCGATGGAAACCCTCAGAATGACAATCCCGGATGACAATGAGCGGGTGTGTCACGGGGAACTCTGTCTGAACGTGTTTCGGGGTTATGGTCCAGCTGTGCACGTTAATATATATGCCTTCGGTGAACTACAATTGACTTCTTTTTGAGCCGAATTTTGTAATCCGTGACAGTTACCACGAGTGGATCATCAGACCGGTATCGAGCGACGGTAACTTCACCGTACATACGTCCCGTTCCCGGACTTTGCCCAAGTTGCACTCCATTCAATACGTGTGCCCCTGATCATGAATATCCATGCATCTTAAATTTCACTCCCTGGGAGGTTACTAAATATTCAGGTTCCCGCCTATGAATAAGTACTCTGAGTCGTACCACTATCTGGGCCAATCAATGAGCTTATTCTTAGATGGTAATGATAGACAAATACATATATAAACCATGTTCACGCGATCTTTCAAGACAAATATTGGGCGGGAACTCATTCATGGGGGCACCAACTCCGAAATATGGCTAGAAACAAAACTGCCTGTACTAATTATGATATTTTTTTAGCCGCATAACTGCTTGTCAGTTTTTAGTTTTCTGTGACGATTCTATTTTCTCCAAAAAATAAATGTGCGCTTTATAAAATGCGATGGTCGTTGCGCCGAGTCGTGTGATGTGGGTTCCATACTACGTTTACAGCGCACGTAAAATAGTGTGTACGTCGACCACTGCCCTTCACTGACAACACGGGATATTTGCAATGAAATACAGGTACATATCGGAGAGTGGTTAAGCGACTGGGCATATAAAGTCGAAACGCGGTTGAAAGTGTTTTCTCGGTCAACACGCCAATCACCGTGAAGAATGCGGCGTGTAACAAACAAGCTCAGAGTTTAATGCATGTTTCTTCTGTAACATATCCAGTCGATATACCGGACATTTTATTTTAGAAATGCGGAACAAATTTGTAGGAAATCCAACAACTGACTCAATGACTTATATAATATACCCTCAATTGGACTTCAATATAGACTCAAGCTGAGGTGGAAAAACTAACTAAGTATATAAATTACTAGTACTGAGAAAAATAAACTTAGAGATGTTGTGTTTTCTCTCACGTTCGCGCAGAGAAAAAATGGGATTGGGTATTGTAAGATTAAAACAACGGGTTGATTACTTTGTTTCAAAATATTGTCGAGTAATAAAAATAAAGTAGGTACTCAGTTGTTCTGATCTTCTGACAACATCCAGAGAAATCTCGGTGGTTTTCACTGCAAAAAAAGGTTATAAGTACAGACATATTTTCATTTGATTGAAATAGTTGATTATTACTTACTCACGCACATATTACTGTGTGCATCTGACACCACGCACCCATTGTCTGGTTACAGTTCTAATGGATTTACAAATAAAGTAGAGTCATATATTATTAACGGCGTTGACCATTATATAAAACTAACTATACGGATCATTGTTGTCATTCACTTAAAAGTTTTAAGGTATATTATTTTGTACGTTGATCATGCTAAACATTGTATTAGCTTTGCTCTATTCAATGTGTGTGTTTTTTGTTATCATAATTTCAAATTTTCTCTGCGTAGATTTTTTTGCATAGAACTATATCCAGTTTACTCAACCCTAATATAAAAAACAGGCATTTGCGATAAAGTTATGCCATTACTAATGATCTACTAATGTATGTACTAATCTACACAAGTATGATTATTAATAAGAGAAACATAATAAACGTGCCGGCTCTTCCAGTTCAGAGGGAAATACATTGTATTCATCCAACGCGTTTGTGTGTATAAATCGCTGGGCGGAAGGTATAACAGTTTCTCCAAGGTTATCTTCAGACTACTGCTATGTTGAATGGTCTCGTATTTTTTTTATTGCAGTAGTACATGTCGAATCCCTGCCATAACCCATATCTTTTGTGTGTGTGTTCAATAGTGCTACAGATTCACTTTGGATTCAAACCCAAACCAGAGGGTCGGCAAGGGGTATTTTCGTAAGCTGTAATCAGTTCTTTTTATTTTCGTAATAATGTAATTTAAATAAGTGACAAACGTAATTTCGTAGACATGGGCAAGGTGTAAAATGTAACCAGTTATTTTATTCGTCCGTAATTTGTACAAAGATCTTAGTGTTCAGGCGTATAACGCAGTTCCCACATTAATGTCGTAATTCTTACACAATTTCCAATTTTGATTCTTAAACACAAATTATTAAATATTAAAGTGTAAAATCCTCTTTTTTTTACTGTAAATGGAACTTTCGTTTTAATTCCCGTAAAAACGTAAAATGCCTTTTTATTTCCAGTAACCTGTACCAGCTATCCCCTTTGCCCCCTTCAAACCATTTACCATCCGTCCGTGTCTGCATCCGTGTATAAGGAATCTCCGCTCGTTGTCATGCGTGTAAACTTGTTGCCAGGTTAGAGAATGTTTCATTTTAGACATATGATACTTTGCTGGTTCCGTAAAGAAAAGAGAATTTGACATCCGAGTGTGATTCGACTTTCCCCGTTTGTTTCAAATTGTTGCTCACTTGCCGGGCTCACTTGATGTGAAAAGAACTCCGGAAAATGATTGGACATGCATCGCGTTTTACTATGATCTGTTTTGAATAAGAACATGTATATTTCCCCTCTCGCCCACAGTCAGGGTCGGGTGCAGGATGGGAATCAGGCGTCTTCACACTGATATGCATAAGTGATGAGAAATGCACTATCATACGCCAAGCCCTCGCCATTGCCTTCAAACACCGTGAAACCACTGATTTTTCATAATTGTGGGTGTCCTTTTTTGAAGGCAAATTCATTTTACTAACCATGATATCAAAACAATTCATTCGTACCGGTTTAACAATAAACTAACAGCTCGTCCCAAAGTTTTCCACAATTACGTAAATTCTCACATTAGTCGTTGTATTGATGTTTGAAATATCAGTACACATGATCTATAATTGTCAAATAATAAAATATAGTATTATATATCATCGTCTCAACCGCCCCCTCGAACAAATATTTGTAGGACAAATGATGCAATCGGTCGGAATGGAATTTATAACTTAAAAAACGGTTATAGTATTTTGTGGTTCAATGTGTAACCAGTAAATGCGTTTAGAGACTAAAATTTCTCTAGTTTTAACCGGGGAACTTTTTTCTGAGAGCATATCGTTTTGGGATGTAACATTAATGATAATGTGCTTCACAAAAATAAAATTTCCTTTCTATCGAATATCAGCAAAATGTCATGTTTGTATTTGTGTTTGGTTGTGAAGTCGTTCGTCATTTTGAATATAGTGAATCTGTTAAAAATGTTGTTATGGACGGACGATCATTGATACAAATGATATCGACGCAACCTTTCACGTACCCGTTTATCATCCGGGATAGTTGAAGATCACCCCACCTCCCACCATGCGCTGATTTCAACCAAAACGCATGTTTGTGAATGGTCCTGGAAATACGCACTGACGACAACCAGGACCAATATGGGTTCAAGTTTCCCACAGATATTAGCTATACGCATATGTGTCACCCGAATGGGTATCCTTTTTCACCACAATCTGCGTTCTGAAATCG